TATATATATATATATATATATATATATATATACGTATGTATGTATGTATGTATTTATGTATGTATCTGTACTTTAATGCAGGTGAACTGCAACACCCTTATATGGTAACTAATCAGACATTGTTGGATTTTATACTTAGATTATTGAGCATGAACTTTGGTGTTGTGAACCACTTTGGCATGACTGTCTCAGAGGAGTTGACCAGGGAGAAGGCGAGACCTGGAGGCCATCTTAGCACTAGCAAGTTTTCTTATTCACTGTAGAGTAAACTAAACATCAAAGTCCATCCTCAATAATCTAGTAAAACAGTATGGAGTATACTGTTTGTGGGAATCAGTTTGTGTTGGTGGCTTCTCAGATTGAAGATGGCATTTGGATGAAGGACAAAACGTCTCAGCAAAAAGAAACCGTTGACATGACCTGACTGAACATTGTTGGATTTCTACCTGGTTTACTGAGCATGGACTTTGGTGTATAATCACAGGATTTTTACACATAATTTCAATCACAATGTTGAAATAGACGAGTTTTCTTTCTGAGACAAAACCACAGACTTACTTGGAAGTAAAGCAGCAGTGCCCCAAACAGGATGGTTTCCAGCAGAACGAGCCCAGACGTCCGTATGCTCTGTCAGACAGGAGGAAGAAACAGGAAACTGCTCAGTTCTAACATTATCTTTTTGTATCTGACTGGCTTTACTGCAACACAGACTGTTGGTTGTTCTGATGATTCAACTCTTGTAATGGCCATCAACTTTATGACCACCAGCAATTTCTTGCGGGATCAATAACGTTCTGTCTTATCTTGTCTTTACTTATTCAGGTTCCTTAGGGGAAAGACTGATCACCTTATTTAGCTGCTTAAAAATGCTATACTGTATTTTAATATTTTTCATCAATGAAGTCAATATTTTTGAGATATTTCAGCCTTAAATAAATGCATAAAATAGAAAATACTTTATACATTTTAATCTTTTAAATAAAATAAAAAAAATAGATTTCAATTTATTTTAAAATTAACAAAATATTTATTTTATGGTATTTATTGGGGGGAAGGCATTTGTCAAGGGAATGTGTATTTTTGGCACTCACTGTGCTCCACATTTTTTACTTGATTAAAGTATTTATGTACTACTTCTGTACTGTTATTGTGAATTATATTAAATGTTCCATGATCCTTACTCTATGAAATAATCAGTCTTCATGTGACCAGTCAGTAAAGAGATGGCAAGAGATATGTTTTTTATTATTCTCAAGGCCTGATTGATTACAGTGATGTAGCTGAGAGAGTCCATGGGAGCTGTCTGTCTTTCCACGCCTCATCGCTTCTGTCTACATCCGTGTTCTGATAGCAGCTCGACAGGGCAGGTAGGGGCTGGGTGTTTCTACAAAACCAACTTTTTCAGTTTGGGAATTCAGAACGGGTCAAAACCTCAAACAGGTGAAGGCATTGATGTTTGAACTGTCGTGATCAGTGCTTTAATGTCGAACCCAGTGGTGTAGACAGGTGCAAGGAACTCGGGGGGAGAAGGTAATATTGATTTATTTATAAAACACAAAAGGCTGCCGGGGCAGCAGACTTATATAATCACTCGGGAACAGGAAACACAGAAGACCGAGGTGACAGGAGCCAATGCCAGGGTGAGGACTAACACAGAGACACAGACTTAATTACCAACACTGACAAGGACTAAACACAAAACACATGTGAGGATCACAGGTGTGAGGAACAGGTGAAATGACACGAGGAGCAGGGCCGAGACACACCATCAAATGGCACAATCCCTACACAATCCATGGGGCGGCTGTGGCTGAGTGGTTAGAGCAGTCGTCCTCCAATGCAAGAGTTGGGGGTTCGAATCCACCAGCAGTCACATGCCAAAGTGTCCCTGGGCAAGACACTGAACTCATCATTGCCTCTGATGTGTGTCCCATCAGTGTATGAATGAGATAAAGTACAGATTAGTCTTTTTAGAATGATTTGTTCAATTAGATTTGTTGAGATCTAGTAGAGTGCTGTATGAATGGGTAAATCATCTTTGCAAGATGGCCGCGCTCAGAGCAGTTGCAACTTCACAGGCTCCCGGTACTATCACAGTTTTTAGAAGTTTTGATATCGACTCTATGCCTGACTCCGCACGATTTATGCGTGTAAACTATAGCTGAACCGAACTGATGAGAATAGGAGTGGATTTGCCACGAAATATAGCAGAAATCAGCAACAAACTCAAAACTACGTTTGGCAGAATGCAGATCTTAAAGTCATCTACCTGGAAGCTGCAACAGAGGCATTCCAGTGGACCGAAGAGGAAGCGCTGCTCCCGGCTTAAGAGGAGAGGATGCCGGGCGGGGTTACGGTGAGGCTACGAGCTAACGCTAAAGCCGGAAAACTCCTGATGCCATCTCTCTTTCTATCGAACGTCCGCTCGTTGAACAACAAGATGGATTTACTTTGTCTGAGAGTGGGCGCCTCAGAAGAGATGAAGAAGTGTGTGGTGCTTTGCCTCATGGAAACATGGATTACAAGCGAAACGTCGGATACAGTCTTTCAGCTGGATGACGGACTCTTTTTTCGAGCATACCGCTGCAACGAGCTAACGGGGAAATCATGGGAAGGCGGAGTATGCATTTACGTGATTAAAAGTTGGAGCACAAACCGTACTGTTGTAAAAAGCTCATGCTCAAAAGCTTTGGAGCAAATAACAGTGAAATGCCGGCCACATTATCTACCTTGCGAGTTCACAGTGACTTTCATCACGGTCTTTTACATTCCTCCAGACGCTAATGCTAATGAATCACTGCAGGAGCTACATGATATCATCAGCTCGCTGCAGAACGAACACCCCGAGGTTCTTTACGTTGTAGCTGGAGACTTTAATCACGTGAATCCAAAGGACTGTCTCCCAAGCTTTTATCAACATGTGGCAATTCCAACACATGGAGGCCACACGCTGGACCGTGTTTACACGAACGTAAAAGACGCATACAAAGCCAAACCCCACCCCCACCTAGGACTGTCAGACCACATTTCAATCTTCCTGGCTCTGGCTTACATGCCCTTGCTGAGATGTTCCAGACCGGTACATAAGAAAGTTAAATGTTGAATCCAGGACAGTGGCCCCTTACTGAGAGATTGTTTTGATTGAACAGACTGGCAGGTTTTCAGAGAAGCTGCTGAAAATGGAGGATTGCGTGATCTGGACCAATACACATTAGTTCTGGGTTACATTAGTACATGCACTGACACCGTCTCCACTATCAGATATGTTAAAATCTACCCAAACAGAAAACCTTGGCTGAATGCAAAGGTGCGCACCCTGCTGGAAGCCAGGAACACTGCCTTCAGGTCTGGAAGCTCAGAGGAGCTGAGTAGGACAAGGAAAGAGCTGGTTGCTCGTATTAAGAAGGCCAAGGCCACATATGCACAGAGGATTGAGGGTCAATTCATCTCACAAGACCCTCGGAGCATGTGGAGGGGCATTAAGTAAATAACAGATTATAAAGGAAGGAGTGAACAATGCCCCAAACACCCATCTCTGCCTGATGCCCTCAACAAGTTCTATGCAGGCTTTGAAGACCCAAACAGACCACCCAGCACCAGTCTCACATCACCACCAGATGAAGAGCATCTCAGCGTGACCTCAGCCCAAGTAAGTAGTACTTTCAAGAGGATTAATACGCTTTCACCTTTGATCTGGAAGGCTTCATCATTCAAGGACACACACAACTGAAAACTGATTCTTCCCTCAAAAGCTTACTCCAAAATGGAACAAACCAGTTATGTTGGTGCTAAGGTGGTGTCTTTGGCATGCCCCGTCCTCTTCTGCCGGCCCTCTTCCTTGTTGACAGTTGTGTCAAACTGTTTGAAAACAAAAAATTCCATGCTCAATAATCCAGGTATACATTACAGCATTTTTCAGTCGGGTCATCTGGACAGTTTCTTTTTTTTGTGCTGAAACGTTTCACCTTCGATCTGGAAGGCTTCAACAGTCAAGGACACACACAACACAAAACTGATTCTTCCCCCAACAGCTTACTCCTACTACTGTATGTCTACAAATCGCTAAATAGTGTCGCCCCCATCTCTCTGATCTGCTACAGCCGTATGTCCCACCACGCACCCTGAGGTCAGCGGACCAGTTGCTCCTCACATTTCCAGGAACTCGTCATAAGCGCAGAGGTGACAGGGCCTCCTCTGTAGCAGGACCAAGACTTTGGAACGAGTTACCTCTGCTTGTTAGACAGGCCCCCTCCCTCTCGGTTTTCAAGTCCAGTTTTAAAACCCACTACTATTCAGTAACATTCAACACCAGATGATCTGTGTAATGAATGATACCTGTCTGATATTATCCATAATTTAAACGGATTCTTTCATTTTTCTGGACTGAGTTCTATCGTGCCTTGAATGATTAAATGTGGCCGGAAACGTGTTTTAATTTCTGACTCATCAACAACAGTGAGTCGTTTATTTTAAACGATTTAAAACATATCACACATTTACAATAATTGGCAGATTGATTACAATTAACACAGCTTAATTAATGAGCTTTACAATGAGAAATCATACGGCCATGATTTCTTATTTGCAACTGAAATACAACAGACATTTCTGAAAATATCTGGATTAATTACTGGCAGATAGAAGAGTTTTAAAGATGGGAAATTAAGTTTAAATGGAGAGAGATGGGTGAGGGAATGTGTCTGCATAACCAGAACAACACGCTCCTTTGGACGCAGCTTAACCCACGGTACACTCGCAAGTGAAGATCGACTCTTTTACCTTTGTAGACGATAGTTTCGGCTCCGGTGTAGAGTTTTCTTTCAACTCTTTTCAGCGTCTCCGTAAGAACAGCTGTGACCTCAGGAGTCGTGAGAGTACTTCGTTCAACAGCACGCTCACCTCCCAGGTGGACTCACATGAGCTGTGAGCCCGTCAGAGTTCCACTCAGATGTGGAAGATTCCATAATCCCCACGAGACTCAAAAGAACTCCCAACTACCTCCAGCACTTCTCTTGATTGAACTGAAGATGTGGCCACTGGATGAAGATTGGAGACCAACGTCAGGATTGCAGGTCTCCTCCAGCGAAGGTCGTCGCTGGGTGACGTCCAGTCGGTGCCGTTCTGGTTCAATGTGTCATGCAATTATGTGGTTTAAGGTGGGCTTATGAAGGGGATTTTACATAAGGCCTTAACCTATATGCACCTGGTGTGTAAGCTATTATGATTGGGATCAGCTACAGCTACCAGTTAAAGGGTGGAACATGCTGAAAAGGGTAGTTATAGGGGTCTATACCTATAGAAGGGTGTTCCAACTATACCATCATCGCTAACATTGTCTATGTTAGACTTACATGGCAACTATAGTTGGTTTAATTGTCTGTTGTCCTTTTAGACGAACGACTTGAGATTGGGTGTTTGGTTTCCCATAAATGTTTTGGAGTCTATGGCGAGACTCATCAAAAAGAATTAGCTATCCCCCGAATAGAATTGTTCGAGTAGGTTCGGCTTAAGCGTTGTGAGACCAATGTAAGTCATGGTACTTAATGTAGCATTAATCTACATTGACTCCGCAAAGATTAGGTTTTGACGAGTGAACTGCATGTTGGCATAGTTAAAGTCCTTTACAG